AATAAAAAAATAAAAATGTTTTTTAATTGAATTGGATATGAAAATTTACAGAAGAAAATATTTTTCACGTAATTGAAACGTTTGCATACATATAAAACGTACAATATGGTACAATTGTCCCAAACGAAAAGCAAACGTTTCGCGTTGGGCAAAATGACAGTGAATCTTACAATTTGTTTCTGACTATGTACAAAACTGTACAAAACCACAAATATGATGATCGATGAGCAAATGGGAATTGTTTTGTACAGTTTACTTTCGTACCCTGACATTCACACAAGCACAAGCACGATAAACACTTACAAATATATCAATTATTTTTGCCTCCTTCCATTTTCAATTCACTTATTTTAGTTTTTAGATTGTTGTCACTTTTCGTTTATTTTTAAATTTCCGTTAATTTAAATTCAGTTGAATGCTTATATGTATGTATGTAGAAGGAAACAAATGTTTACATTAAAAATCTAATTGTACATATAGAAGCAGTACTTACATAGATTTATAGCATGTGTGTTTTATATAAAATTCCTTTTTTCCTAATTTGTAACGATTGCAAGGCGAACGCACTTTGATGAGCCTCACAACAAATATATAGCCGGTTCGAAAACNGTATGTATGTAGAAGGAAACAAATGTTTCCATTAAAAATCTAATTGTACATATAGAAGCAGTACTTACATAGATTTATAGCATGTGTGTTTTATATAAAATTCCTTTTTTCCTAATTTGTAACGATTGCAAGGCGAACGCACTTTGATGAGCCTCACAACAAATATATAGCCGGTTCGAAAACGCCCTATCACAGAAAATTTTTCAAGAACTCCCAATTACAGAATTTGGTTGAAGAACGCCCTATCTCAGTATTTGATTGAAGAACGCCGCTTCAAAAACGCCCTATATCAACATATTTTCAGTTGAGATAGGTCATTTCTGAGATAGGGCGTTCTTCAACGAAATTCTGAAATAGGGCGTTCTTGAAACATTTTCTGAGATAGGGCGTTTTCGCACCGGCTGCCGAGTCGATGCTACTATAGTCGACGATAACACATACAAATTTTGGTCCCGATTGAAATAACTGACTGAATTTGAATTTTTTAAGGACCACCCTAATGCATGTACATATTCATAACACTGTGTTACGCTGATCGTGAACTTTTTAAATAACTTAGCATAGATAGCACGAAAACTTAAAATTGTTTAAAAAACAACCGAGCTAAAAATTGTTTAGTGCCGGAAGTCATGCGAAAATGTTTTTTTAAGAATAAGTTAAGAATTTGAGGGTGTTAGAATAATTTTTTAAACAGTTTCGTGAATTACTCGACCAGATCTACCACCTGTACTAGGCCACTTAAAAAAGTTCGTGCATTTTTTTAAATTTTGCAACACCGTGCAATTAGCAAAGGCAATTTTCTGTACTAGGAATTTTCCCAATGAATCCAAATCTTTAACCGAATCACTTCACATTTGCATTCAACTTTAGAAGTCGTATATTTCACTTAAAAACTCCCACTTTTTGGAATATTGTAAAAGCCTGCATAAATTTAGAGCTCGATAAACATATTTCACTTAATCACCAACAATTGACTTTAAATCACACTATTTTCATACGAAAATTGAAAATTGCGCCTTCACAATCGAAATTCACCCACGCAATGCGTGATGCCGCCAAAAAATTAAAGACGCCTTTGTTTACCGCTAACTCTCCAATACTCTTATTTCTTACCACCCACACTTCGTTCTCTTTGAATAGCTGTTTTTGTCAGTAAAAAAGTTGCTTACGAAAAACGAAAGCAAAGCAAAGGCGAACAAAAATAAAACAGAAAGAGGAGCAAAACAAAATGCGTCGCAAAGACGAAACAAAACAGATGAACACTAAAAAAAACAAAGCACGAATGATGGACAAAAGGAACCACGTAAAAGCAGTGCTGCCACCACATGCCAGCAGTCATTTTAGTGTAGTCAGTAGCTTTGCTACTTACACGCATGTGATAGACGGTGCGAATGAAGGTCATAAAAACAAATTGCTTTGTCACGCTCGCTCCCATTCGTTGCTCCATTTGGCTTATCGATTTTCATTGTGTTCTTTCGTGTATTTGCGAAAGTGTGGATTGAAATTTTTCTAATCTGACGGCAGCCAGTTCAAAGAAAAAGTTTCAATTAATTTGCAAGCAAATTTCGTTTTAAATATCATTTACGACGTGCTAAAAATTGTGCAAGTAAAAAGGAGAATATAAAGTGTTTTGAAAAATACTTGAGTAAAGCGGAAATTTCAGCAATTTGCTGTGCAGTCTAAGCAATGTAACTAAGCAAATTGGAAACTTGGTTTTCACATTCAAATTGTGCTACATACAGAGTGAAAATTTATTTGAAGAAAACAAAGAACGTAGCATCAGCGCAGTTTTAAGCTGAAATAGCAAAAGTGTATTCGTTTAATTTAACTAATTTCGCAATGGACGACGCCTCGCAAAGTTCTGCAACTACGCCGATGGCGGCTCGAGAGAACATTCCGCTAATAAATCGACCCAGACGACGTTGGTATTTATTCAGGTGAATCATCGATACAATTAATCAAATGGTTGCTTTTAATTTTTATTGAATTATTGCTTTATTTTTTCAAATCTAATTTGTGCTGGGGTTGGCAAAGCGATCCATGATTAATATTTGGAAAGGAGAAAAAAAAACAAGAAATATGAATTCACTTATATAAAACTGTGACAAGCAACAATGGAACGTATGTGTGGAGCTGTTGTGCGTGTTGCTATATCGTGGTGTTGATAGCTCCAGCTTTCGCTCGCTGCGCTATTTGAAAACGAGAAGTAGTCATATTTGCAGTTTCTGTATACGCAGCGCTTGCCGTAATTAGAGAAAGCTGGAGATTCAGAGTACCAGAAAGGTGGTTTAATATATTTTTAGTCGAAGCTTAACAACAAATTTAGGCAATGTTTAGTTATTTGCCCACTCTTGTTAAGGTCAGTGGGCGTAGGGGTAGGAGGCGTGTTTCTTCATACCTCACCCACTGGAAAGAGCACAGTTTAAAGTTTGTAAAAAGTCATACCTGCCCCCTCGAACCCTTTCACAGACCATTGGGGAATCATTTGTAAATGGGGTAAAATTAGCATTTTCACAGAGAGAATGTAAATTCGGTATAATCTAAAGCATTCCCGCGCACAAACCTTTCATCCATAGCGGCCTTCGGGTCACGCATTTGGACACTATCTCGAAGTCTTTGGGCAATTAACTAAACGGTACTCTAAGCTGTGTGGGATTCCATCCTTNCGCACTGTCATAACAAGCGAGTGAGGTGAATTAAACTCGTGCGAATGGTATTCCTTGAATACATGCTTATTCCCGTATGATGGATACCAGTGACAGTGCGAATCGGCTTAGATCCGAAGTAGCATTTAACGAATATTTATTTATATGTACATATATTTATTTATTTTTACTAGATCTCAAAAAAGCCACCTTACTACTTGTGTTTGTTGTTGTTGTTACACAGCATACAAATTCACCAAAGAGTTTTTGGGGAGTGTTGCTGGAGTGACAGTCTTTGGCCAGATATAAACCTACGTCGTTCCGGTTACTTAGACCCGACTGTCGTTATTGTAACTCAATTTGGTGTCGTCCTAAATATACCGAATACATACATACTTTTTTATTTTAATCAGCCACAAAAGAAGTTGATCCTGCTCCATAATCAGTCTCGCAATTGCTGTATATAGGGGTGTGTGGTGGTGATTGAAATGGTAGCTTAGAACAGACCATTGTCAGATGACCTTAGAGTTGGTTTGCGATTCTTATATATGTACATANGCGTGAAATGCCTATTAAATCAGAGTACAGCGATAGGTACAAAAAGATATTCTTGCCTATTACGATATCCGACAGACCATTGTCAGATGACCTTAGAGTTGGTTTGCGCTTCTTATATATGTACATAAATGTAATTAAGTGATGTAATCCTTCAGTTCCGCCCAGGCTCTCCTCCATACTGCTCACTCCAATAACCCACCATACTGAGCTTCTACATAATTTTGTATAAACATACATACATACATACATAATAAATTCGCATTATCATGACATCATGTCTTACAAGTTTTAAATTTCAATGGCTGCTGTGGAGCTCAACGCGCTCGGCACAGCAACGTCAAATATTTTCTATTTATTGCCTTAACTTGTTCTGTTATACACTGTTTCATATTCATAACTGCTGATGTTCCGACTGGATTTTACGACTGTTCATTCGTTGTGGGTGTTTAGTACGTGTATGCATACATAAATATGTACATATAAAACTCTTAATTGTATTACGAACGGGTACTCGGAATGACTTCACAATCTCGGACTTGCTGCAGTTCATCGCCACAATATCTGTTTTGCTTGCATTTTTGTGGCGCGTTACAACACTTTTTTAGTTTTCATGCAATTATAAATATTTTTAGTATTTATGTATGTAAAAAATTGTTGTTTTGTAAATATGTACATATTTCGTAAGCAGCATTATTTGCAGGAGTACCTACTTGGCAAATGATGTTTCGACTTTTTATTGCGCTACTGAAACAGTTTGGCTGCTCACGAATTTTTATTGCTATCTGTTTATTGATTAATTTGTAATTCTAATTTCATTTAAATTTCTTTGCGTTTACTGTTTAAAGTGAATGTGCTTTTAGTTTTTGATTTGGTAATTGTTTTACTGAGCAATGTAATTTCTTTTGATTGATTGTTGTTGCCTATCCTATAGTTTATTTTATTGTTGAAAACTGAATAAAAATATAACCGGATAACCAGACAGTTGTGAACACCGTTCCCACGACAGTCGGGTCTACGTAACCGGAACGACCCAGATTTATATCTGGCCAAGGACTGTCACTCCAGCAACACTCCCCAAAAAGTCTTTGGGGAATTTGTATGCTGCTACAACAACAACAACAACAAC